TAACAGCATCTCCGGGTAATTCATGTGCTCACTAAAGTGTGAGAGGTGTCAGTTTAGGGGGATACCCTGGGTCCTTGACAACCAAGTATAATACTGTTCCTTTGACAAAATGTACACTAATTCCAGATAAGGAATTTATCAGGGACTGCCTTTATGTCCTGCACACAATTCCATACAAAGTTGGGAACAGAGAGTTTCATTTGAGCCTCCATTGTGTCCTCAGTGCCTAGCACTGACATGGCATAAAGCTAGTGTGAGATAAAGATTCATCAAATGGAAGCACCAGGGAGCCACTGAACCCTTCAGGGAATCCAGTGTGCTTTCAGGGAATCAGCGCCCAGAAATGGCATGTTCCAGTGCTCATTTTAGGTGGTAGCACCTAAAAACACACAGCACAGAGGAAGCTCTGAGATGGTGACTAAGTCTGTGTTGGGGATCCTCTGGGGGTTGGAGCAGGAGGGAGAATCAGAGTTTCTGCTTCTGGGCTCTGTTCCCAGGCAGCAAATCTCAGAGTCAGGGCTTTCAAACCAGATCAGTGGCCCCGGGCCAGCTGACAACTAGCACCATAGTCATATGTTAAAAAGCACACTAGGGAATTCTTGGCCACTGGGCCTCCCTGTTGTCATGGCAGGCGAAGTGAAAAGGAGGGAGCAAACCACCCCCAACCCAGAAAACAAGATCAGGGCCCTTGCTCTGCCACCCGAAACCATGAAGGCACAGTGCCGGTCAGCTGGAAGCAGGACCAAAACCACTGCCTGGGAAAGGGACGGAGCAGGAGAGGAAGCAGGAGCCCACTCCTGAGCTTCACAGGATCAGAGCCCTTCAGAAGTGACTGGGCTCAGCAACCAACTGGCACTCAGAAGACTTTCACCGTTAGTGGAGGGGGTAGTTGTCGGAGTCATAGCAGCAGCTACCACTTATTGATGGTCAGTGTGCCTGGCAGAACTAAACACTGCAGGGCAGGGACTGCCAATCACATTTTACAGATGAAAAGTAAATACGAGGCTCGAAGTGTCCAGTGTTTTGTTCCAGGCCACACAGCTAGTAAGCGACAGAGTCAAGATTCAAACCCAAGCCTGTTGGCTTCTAAAGCCCACAGTCCTTAACACTAGGCCACAGTGATGCAAGCAAACCACGCCTGAGTCCCAGTTCCCTCCATTCTACGTATGAGAAGGCTGAGGTCAGCCACTGGTCCAAGGTCACACAGCTGGGTCAGGACGAGCTATATCTTTCCTCTTTCCTAAGGAACAGGGATGGTTATGGGACAGTGGAAGAACACAAGGTTTGGGCAAAACTCAGATCAGTACAAATATTAGTGATTAGAAGTCCTAATGGGAGAGATGGGGTAGCCTGTCCCAACCAAAGCAGAGGTGTTGATGCAAGGACTCGGCCAACTCTATAGGGTGCCATCTGTTGCTCACAGCTACACTCCCTGGGTTCTGAAGCATCTACAGATGACTGGAAGTGGTTTCTTTGATGTGCCTAGTTGGCCCATTCAATGACAGAATTATCAGACCACTTTGTTAGCTGCCAGATAATGAGTGTATCCCCAAATGTCCAAAACGGATTCCTTCGATTGTGGGGTTTTTTCCCCTTCTTCCCCCTCTTTTCAATTCTGTTTTCACCTTTACTTGACTCCATATACCAACTGACTTGCTCACACGTGATAAAACAATATGTGTGCAAAAAAAAAAAACTACTCAATGCCCTAAGTAACTAGACAGTGGTGATGAATGCATAGCTTTGTGAATTATACTAAAAACCACTGAATGTATACTTTAAAGGGTTAATTTTATGGTATATGAGTATTATCTAAATTTTTTTTTTTGCGGTACACGGGCCTCTCACTGTTGTGGCCTCTCCCGTTGCAGAGCACAGGCTCCGGACGCGCAGGCTCAGCGGCCATGGCTCACGGGCCAGACGCTCCACGGCATGTGGGATCTTCCCAGACAGGGGCACGAACCCTTGTCCCCTGCATCGGCAGGCGGACTCTCAACCACTGCACCACCAGGGAAGCCCTATCTAAATTTTTAAAATGATTAAAAACAAAAACAAAAAAATGTGCAGGCTCCAAGTAAAGACTAAGAGCACCAGACTGCCCGCCTTTCCTGTTCTGCACTCTCATGTGGATGGAGAGGTCTAGGCATGCTGATTTTTCAGAGGCCATCAGGTGTTCTTTGTGTACCAGTTCTCAAACACTGCAGGGGACTCACAGATGCCTTGAGGTCTCATTGATACGTATCATCCTTCCAAGAAGCACAGCATTTTGTGAATCATCTCATGCTCCTGACAGGATTTGCCCAGGATGTAGGGGTTTCCTGGGACACCAGAAACTCATTCTAAACCTGGGAAAGTCCCGGGCAAACTCACACAACTGGTCACCCAACCTCCTGGGGAGCAGTGAGGAATGAGTGAAGGGTCTCCAGTCCCCAATCCCAGCTCTGGTCCCCAACTACAACACAGCTTCTCTATTTTTATCTTTTTTACATATTAGGCTTTGCCTACACTTTCTGTTTAAGGGAAAG